CATGTAATGTTCAATATACATATATCCATTGCACGTGATGTTCAAATCAGGCTAAACATATATTTTTCCTCAAATAAAAATCCTATGTTTTGGTAATGACTTTCACAATCCTTTCTTATAGCTTTTTGAAATGTACAGTACATAACTGCTATCCACAGTCACATACTATGCAATAGTACACCAGCACTCCTTGCTCTAACCTAACTGAATTTAGTTCTCATTGATCAACTGTTTCCTGTTTCTTAGCCCCAAGTCTCCCAGCTGTCCCCGGCCTTTGGTAACTGCCATTCTACTCTCAACTTCTAGGAGATCAAGTGTTTGATTCCACATACAACTGAGATCATGTAGTAATTTTCTTTTTGTGCCTGACTTATTTTACTTAACAGGATAATCTCCACTTCCATCTATATTGTCACAAAGACAGGATTTCACCCTATTTAATGCTGAATGGCATTCCATGGTTTATGTGTATCACATTTTTTTATCCATTCATCGGTTGATGGACACTTAAGTTGTGTCCATTTCTTGCGTATTGTGAACAGCATTAGCAACACCCATAAACCACCAGATATTATCTGGTAGGTAATACTGAGATGATGGAGATAATGTGTACTATACATCCTCATATGTCAAAGAGAAATGCACAATGACAAAAAATCTTAGTGACACTCATATTTTGGGTTTTCTTTAGAAATAAAACTGAAGTAGAATATTTTGGGGGCTTCATTAAAAGTGCAATGTAAGGTATAAGATGAGGCAATGGTTTCAGAAAATGACATTCTAGTGACTATAATAGAGATAGTACACACAAATTCATGTTTCTACATGTTCTGACTCTGGAGGAAACAATTCAGATTGTTTCTATTCAGTCACACCAAGTAAAGGCGTGAGGTTTTCAAGAATCTCAGTTTCTGCTTTTGTTTATATTCTATATTATATTGGAATTGTAAGTATGTGGGTCTGTCTCAGCTGATTTCCTCATACCTGGGACAAAACACCCAACAACTACAACTTAATGAAGAAAAGGTTTATTTTAGCTCATATTTTTAGCCCATAGTGGAATGGTGCCAAGGCATGGAGGTAGGTGGAAGTGGCTGGCTGAGGAAAGCTACTCACCTCATGGCACCTAAGAAGCAGAAAGAGAAGAGTGTCCAGAGAGGGAGATATGCCCTTCTAGGTTGCACCTCAGGTGACTTGCTTCTTCCAACCAGTCCCTACTTCCCAACACCAAGCCAGCTGTAGAATCCCCAAAATTCAATCACCTTCCACAGTCATTGGGGGAACATCCAGATTTAAACCACAACAGAGTCGCTGGAAGGGAGCAATCCACAATGCCACAATGGGTGTTTCAGAGAGAACCAAACAGGCATCACTCCTGCCCAACACATTAGCTACAGATAGAGGTATTCACCAGATATCCACCAGAAAGACAGCTACTATAGCTTCTCTCCACAAGTTTCTGGCACAGGTCATGTAGAGGGGATGATCAGGCATTGAGGAGGTTCTCACATCTCCAATTGTGTTCGTCCTCCCCCAACACCATTCCACAGCACTGACCATACCCATCTACTTTATCACAGCTCTTCATCTGTTTTCCCTAAGTGTCTTTGTGTGTGTGTGTGTGTGTGTGTGTGTGTGTGTTTGCATCTCCCTCATTAAAGCTGTGCATCCCTATAAATGGTATTTGCTGATGTCTTAGTGTATCCTGTACAAATGCTCTTCCCAGAAGGTTGAACAAAGTTAACATCTGGAATTTATTTCTTCAGAATATGAGGATACCCAAAATCATGTAGTTTGGACCTAAATCCCAGTGAAGTGCTCGTGTTTTTCTAGTAGAGAATCACTACTTGTTTTCTTAAGAGGATCTCCTTTTTCTCAATATCACCGACCTCACCCACAACCATCTAACACAGATTGCTCATGCCCAGATGTTGACATTCTTCGTTTGACATTCTTCCTTTGACAGTGGACAAGCTTCAGGAAGTCCTTGCTCAATAAGAGAGCTAGAAGTATTAGATGAAACACCAGCAAATCTCCTGCCTTTTCTTCTCCTCTGCAGTCACAGAGCCTCTCTGTGTGACCTTCTAGATTGTGTGGTAGTTTTAGCTCCACTCTCTGGACCCTCTCTGATTTCACACAGCTCTCCCAAGTCAGCTTTAATGTTCCAGCTCCTCATTTTAGAATATTTTTCTTGCTTGGTTACAGGGTCCAATCCCTCCCTTCAAAGCAAAGGCTCTGTTAATATGCTGCCTTCCATACTCCTCCTCTAAGACAGTGCAGTATTCCTTCTTCAGAAAGATTCACTGCTTTCAGCACCTCCATGTCTGAAGTTGGGATAGTATCATGTTTGTTTCTTACTATGATACACTTTCAGTTATGGTCTTATGACAGACTTTGTTCAAAAATCAACAGGGATTTCTGAGAATTTGATTCCTTGCTGCACACCATTTTTTCTTGTAGGGTCACAACTCTGACTTTGAACTGTTCTTACCTGTGCAGATGTACTTCATACAACTATTTCTGCAAAATTCCAAGCATGGGGCCAGGGATTTAGCTTAGTGGCACTCTGTCTGCCTCACAAGCACAAGGTCCTAATTTTGATCCTTGGTACCAGGAGAAAAGAAAAATAAATTCCAAATGTGCCTGTGTAAGACGTGTAAATGTTAGCAATCATTAAAAGTGGGTGTGTATAGGTAAAACTTTCTTCATATCTTTATAACTCAATACATCTCATACACCCCTTGTTTCTATTCATGATGAAAACATAACCATTCTAAGTGTGAGTGTTCAAGAATGTTAAAATTCATGTTTCCATTTGATTGTGGCTAAAGCCTTAAAATAACAAATGCCAAAAGTCAACCATTTCCGCATTTCTTTCTACAAGAGAAGTAGATTTTTGTTTTAATCATATTTCCTCTGGTCCCTAACTCATTGGTATATATAAAAGGTAGGGTATGAAATCTTTCTTGTCACCTCTGGCTAATTGAGAAGAGCTTCAACAAGATCAATTACAAGCGTCCATACAAAAAAAAGGTAGTAAGAGGATTCAACTAATTGTGCCCTTTTCTATATATTTCTTTGCATAACTGTTCAGAGTAGAGAGAGATTTATTTATTCCCATTACTTTAGATGATCTGAGGCAGTTTATCTGGATTTCCTCAGAAAACAGGACATTCTTCTGTCTTTAAGTGTTTAAAACAAGCTGATTTTAATAATATATGTGTGCTCTAATATAACCAAAGTCACTAATTGCATTCAATTAAAGCTTCCACCTGCCCTGGCTCAAGTCCACAGTGGATAGAAAGCCTGCCATGGAAAAAGAGGAAGAGGCAGATTCTCCCCTCTTTATTTTGACAGCATCTCCAAGAAAATGTAGCTGGAGCTTCTGACAGCTCTGAGCTTGAAACTTGGGAGGACAGAGAAGTGAAAAGCAGGCAAATTCTTTGTTCAATTGCTGCTAATCTGGAAATGGTTTCCACATATTGGCAAGTGATTAAAATGGATTATATGTTTTGTGGATGTTTCTTCAGAGGTTCTGTGGCTGCTCAACCAGTCCTGCACCTGTTTGCTCTCCGTTACACCCTTACTGTGTCTTTGCCACTCTGCATTTCAGCACAGCCAGCTTCTTCTGAGTTTGGGCAGGTGGTGGCGCTAGCCAGAAATGGAATGGGAGAGAAAAGAGCAGCCAAGAGCGCTTCTCATCCCACTTGGATTTAGATGTCCTCTCCAGAAGAGTCTGTGCACCTTCTGAATCTCAGCTCCTGATGAAAAGCCCCATCCTGATTCCACCTTCTTTTTAACGGCCCCCACCCACAGATCCAGGAATATCCCCTACTGCTTTGCCCCTACAACCTAAGGATATGGGAGCTTCTGCTCTTTGCAATTCTCTCTGTTACCTCTTTATGTTCTGTTTGATTCTCCTTTCTCTGTCACATGTGTTAAAAAGTTCCCCGCAGTGAACTTCTCCATTGTA